CCTTAATGACGATGATTCCTTTGATGGCATATCTATACCTCTGGAGGATGAGTTTCTTAAATACTGGGATTGTATAATTTTTATCTCTGTGTCCTTATTACTTAGCCCAGAATCAGGAACACGATAGACTTGACAAGTAGTTGTTGAATTAATAAATAAATGAGAGTGAGAGAAGAAATGCATGGTGTTTTCCAGTGGCCATATTGCCTTTCAAAGTATAGTTTAAAAGGATGCCAATTATGCAAGTGTGGTGATACCTCAGGTGTAATGGAAACAGAGAATCTTTCCATGGGGGTCAATGAATCTATCTGCTGGTTAAGAACAACATTCTTTTTCTTTTGTTTAATGTTTTTATTTATTTATTTTAGAGAGAGAGGAAGGGAGAGGGAGAGAGAGAAGCATCAATGTAAGAGTGAAACATCCATCAGCACACCCCCTACTGGGGATTGAGCCCACAACCCAGGCATGTGCCCTGACCAGGAATCCTACGGGCAGCCTTTCCATGCATGGAACGACACTCAACCAACTGAGCCACACAGGCCAGGGCACGAACAACATTCTTTTTAATAGTCATTATTCTGTACCTCTCTTGATGAGCTTCACCACCATTGAGACTACCAGTAGTATCACACTGGTAGCAATTTCAGGTTACAATGCACGTCTGCCATCTACTGGTCATATCGGGTAGTACTGTGAAACCTATGACCACACATTTTCATTTCCTTCAGAATCTTCTGGATTTGAAAGCTATAGGGGGGGTTAGATTCCAACACACCAAACCGTTCCATTTTACAAAAGGGGAAGTCGTTTCCTGTGGAGAGTATATGATCACCCAGGGCCATGCAGCTAGTTGGTGGAAGAGCTGGAATGGTCATTTCGGCTTCCTGACAAAAGCAGGATCTTTTTTGTTCTTATTTTTTTTTATTGTAATTCTGGATGCTAACAGAAGTACATCTGGTGAACAAGGCTGACTTTTTCCAAAATGAAGCGGAACAGTTGAGACTTGTTCTAGTTTACATGCCAGTAATCTTTTACCCCCTTGTTTAAAGCTCCTCACGTTCCAAAAAGTACAGGATCTGATTTTCTGCTTTCTGTCCAAGTATTTCCTGGATCTGAAGACAGCTTACGGGTCATGTGGGAAAGACTAGACTTACAAAACTTGGAATTTCACACCAAAAAGTTAGGCAAAGATATGGTGCAGGATGTGTGTTGCATGCCATTGGATCACATGCCATCATTAAGACTCAGAGGGATTAGAAACACACCAGAAGTTTATGTTCCGAGAAGCTGTGATCTTCAATGGAAAAACTGACACATCATAATTGAAAAAGCTAGGAACTGCCTTCCTCATCAGAATAAACAGAAGTGACATAAAACCTTCCAGAAAGGCCCGCTCTGTGAACCTGGCGGAATTGGCCGCAGAAGCACTGTATTCTCCAATATATGCATATTTTTTTATTTTTTAGCTGCCCCATGGGACTGGATTTAACCATAGTCATCTTTTTATTGAAGTGTGGTTTGTATGGGAACATGCCTCTTAACATTCCAGGGATCAACGCAAAGTTAAAACAAACCAAACATCTCAGTACCTGCCAGGAGGACTCTTGTCTTTCCCTAATGATTCTCAGAACCAAGCATTTCAGGGACTGGGCTGCTGAAATGAAGGAAAGATGTGGTTATCTGAAATTTCTCCTTGGGAAATTGGGAAAATTTCCCTGGAACTTTTTGGCTCTCAGGGTACTTTTTTAATCTTCTGTACTCACTAATGAACATGTTCAGGCTGGTCATTTTGTTTCATAAGCTGAAAAAGTAGCACCTTTAAATGCCCTGGGACAAACCTGATAAGGAAAATAGTCCCCACTGGATTAAAAATCAATAGAGGTACTAAGTCAGTCCCTCCAGGGTTGTGACCCAAAAAAATCTTCCCCTAGGGAAAAATCTTACATAATAATAGACAAACATGTAAATTGACCATCCCTCTGCTACACTCACCAGCCAATCAGGAGAGTATGCAAATTAACCCAACAAAGATGGCGGTTAATTTGCTTACGTAGGCGCGAAGTGGCGGAGCGAAGACTGAAGGCTCCGGCTGGAGCAGCGAAGACTGAAGGCCTGGGTCCTGGGTCCCGGGTGCCGGAGGAAAACCGGTGCCGGCAGCCAGGGGAAGGGAAGGCCTATTGCACGAATCTCTTCGTGCAACAGGCCTCTAGTAAAAAATAAAATGCTATGGGAAATGTCATATCAGTATTCACTCAGTTATTCCTTTCTCATGATAATCTCACCTCTGGTCTCAAACACTAGTGTGGGGAGGGATGGTCACCTTGCCCCATCCCCCGATGTGATCTGGAATGTCCTTCCTTTGAACCTGAATCTCTGTGCACCCTTTTCATCTCAACACGGTGCCCATGGCTGAGGGTAATGGCACTGCCCTGATGGCAGAACTGTAGATCACTGCATGGAAGTATGCTCCTCAGTGAAGGAAAGAATGAGAATACTTGTCCAGAAATTCAGTGTGGAGTTATATTAGGACCCAGAGGTCCAAATGAGTGCCCAAGGCCAAGTGAAGTTTCCTGTACTTTGGTTATTCCCACCACTGCCATTTCCCTCTTAGGAATGAACTCAGAGTTATTGAACTCTATATGCTCAGATGTCCCAGATAACCTAGGGACAATGCTCAATGCAAGTGACAACTCTCCCCTTACAAGACCCGTGAGGGACTGAACAGCTCAGCCCCCTCCACCATCCTTTCTCTGATCCACAGGAGGCACAGGTAACCAGAGCCTCCTTCTCCCTTTCTAGCCCTCCCATAATTCCACACCTGCCAATATAATTCCTTTAATTTCCACCTATTTCTACTTTTAGCTACATTAACTCCAAATTCATTTTCATCTCTTCCCTGACTCACCCTGTTATTTCATAGTCATCAATCAAGATCAAGCAATCCAAAATAGCCTTGCAGACTTGCCTTGAGATACAGGCTCAAAAACCCCCCACAAAATTACTGACCTTAATCCCCCTTCCTGGCCCTGCAAGGAGGGTATACGGTAGTGGGATTATCATGCTACATATTTGGACAGTTCCATATTTACCAAAAAGTTTAGTTTGACTTAATTTAGGTTTACCTTACACGATTTAAAAATAAATTCATATCTTAAATTCATTCATATGGACAATCTGATACAGTTGTTTTCAAAACAAAAATCTATAATAATAACAGCGTAATATGCTAATCAGACTGGGCATCCTTCCGGACAACCTTCCGGATGAAGCTGGGACTGCGAGGGAAGCTTGGATCCCGGGTGCCAGAGGGATGCCAATGCCAGCAGCAGGGGGAAGGAAGGCCTACTCTTGCATGAATTGCATGCATCGGACCTCTAATAGTATAATAATGATTAAAAGTGTGGGCTCTGGCTTTAGACTGCCTGGGTTCAAGTTTGCCACCTCTGATCTGGGGGACCTGTGCAAGTAACTTAACCCCTCCAAAACTCAGCGCTTTCATTTATAAAAGGCAGATAATAATAATAATAATATTTGTCTATCAGACTGTTAGGATTAAATGAGATGATGCATAAAATGCACTTAACATAGTATCTTGTGCATTATACATTATATATTTTTTTAAGATACATAAAATCATGTTATATGGCAGGCACTTCACATACACTATCTCATTTAATCTTAATAGTCCAAATTTTGTAGAATGCTGGCTCTCTCCTGAAGATTAACTGTCTACACAGCTTTCTCAAGGAGAGTTTGCTGAATCACATATCCCAGAGTCTGGAGGCAGAAGCAATGCCCTGCTTGTTCCACACTGCTATTTCTCATCTATTGTCACTGGCTCCCCCTGTAAAAACTCCTACTCCCTCAAGACTCATGCTTTTGAGTCTACCACCCTCTCCTCCTTGTCACTATTATATACCAAAACCAGAATCTAATGTCAATATCCTGTCAAAATTTATATTAATACCCAACATCCTGGTTGCTGGGTTCCTTGAACTCTTTTTTAAAAAATCTTTATTGTTGAAAGTATTACATATGTCCCCTTTTTTCTTCTATTGACCCCTTATAGCCCATTTCCATCCCCTGCCCTAGGCCTTCACCCCGCTATTATCTGTGTCCATGGGGGTTCCATGAACTCTTCATCTCCATTCACCTTCTCCTCCACTCTCCACTTTGGTTGTGTGTTTTCACTGCCACTCTCTGGACCTGTAGGCCTTCGCAGCCCTGGCCGCCCTCACAACCCTGGCTTCCTCGGCCCTCACAGCCCTGGCTTCGTCCGGAAGGTCGTCTGGACAGTGGTTCTGCTGTTTGGCCATTTGATCACTTGCATATTACCCTTTTATTATTATGGATTGTTACTGTGACCGCTCTTTTCAACTTCCTCAAGTCCCTGGCCCCACTGTTTTTTCATCATACTGAATTGATTTTTCTCAAGTGAATCTAGCTATTGACCAAGGTTGCTGAACATCAATGCAGAAACAGCAAAAGGACAGTGTTGTCATTATGTGTTCATGGTCAGCATCCTCAACAGGACATGAAACACTGCCAGAAATTCTACTGAGTTTTACCAGTTCTCTCTCTTATTCTCCACGGTGAGGATTCTATGGTTTCTCCACTGTCCTCAGTCCTCCAATATCCTCACATCCCTCAATACTCAAAGCAGGTGGCGTCAAATCTGACTTCACAAAGAAGATAGAGCCCCCTCAGAGGGGGCATCCTTCAACTTTCCACCACTACATTTGCAGTCATTTGTCCACCTTGTCTTCTGCCATTGGAGAATAGGGGCCCTTCTTTCTAACTAAAGCTTATCCCTCCACCAGTCCCTGCCTGTTTTATCAGAGAGGGACCTTGCTTTATAAACTATCCTCTCTGTCTTCTAGCATAAATCTTTTGCTCTATATTGCTTCTTTCCCATCCGCTTTTAAATACCCTCAAGTCTTTTTCATCTCTTAAATCTGGAAACAACACTGAAATGCATATCTGCTTTTCTCCTTTCACAGATGAGACAATGGAGGCTCATGGAGATTAAGGAGAAAGGAATTGAATAAGGCCCAAACCCCAGGACATTACAGCCATACACAGTACCTGTCATTATGATGCCATGGTATGTCCTATAGCAGCTGTGGACTGTGTAGATCTCTATTTTAGGTATGTTCACTAGAGGAATGGATTGATTTCTACTGATCAATGCTCCAACATCATGACTTTCCCCAAGGCCCCAAATGATAAAGAGAAATAGTTGGATAGACCTAATCTGTACTTTGGTTGTTCCATCTGTAAAGTATAACTTATAATATATATTCTTACCACCTCCTTGTCCTCCTACTCTCTGCCTCCATTTCTCATCAGCAATGTAATAGAGATGGCATATCTCTTCCCTTCGGAAGGTTTTCAATTGCTGAGGGGGACGGTGCTACATAAATGCTCAATATAGCCATCTTTTTTGACTGTTAACTCCCTGCCTGTGCTGACAGAAACCAGTGATGTGGATGAAGCTGGGTTCATTTTATTTAGAAGGAAAAAAATAGAGCAAAGGGAAGAAAAATTAGGTAAGCATCTGGAGGAAAGACTCAGAGAAGACCCAAGTAAAAATGTGACCAAGCAATTAAATCAACATCCTCCACTGCAGCTATTTGTAGCTGCCCTTTGTTAGTCTTAGACCCAGGAGAAAACAGGAGGGGTATAGAGTGTGGGATATTATTAAAGGAAAGAGAATGAGAAGTAGAAAAGAAGTGAGGGGAGTGTAAGTCTTACAAGGAAGATAGAAATAACAAAATAAAAAAAGAAAGATGAACCAACAAAGCTGGTTGGTTCATCATATATATATATGATGTGGAGCATAAAAAAGAACACTGCATGTCAATGTTCAGTCCTTGAATGTTCCTATTCCTTTTCTGGTAAAGATGGTAAAGCCTTTGAAACAGCGGTTCTCAACCTGTGGGTCACGAACAATGAAAATACATCCTGCATATCAGATATTTACATTACAATTCATAACAGCAGCAAAATTACAGTTATGAAGTAGCAGCGGAAATAATTTTATGGTTGGGGGTCACCACAACATGAGGAACTGTATTAAAGGGTTGTGGCATTAGGAAGGTATAGAACTGAGAGGAAGAAAACTAAAAGACTAAAATGCAAAAATTATTTTGCTTTTTACAATGGAATAATTGGAAAGCTTGAGATGAAATGAAATTTGGAACTAAGTAGATATAAAGTCTAAAGCTTTAAAGTGTAGACAGAGGTGGTACTGGGGTCAAACCCTGGATTTTCAGCTAAGTAGCTATGTTATATTGGTCAGGTCATACTTACCTATCCAAGAATCAGTTTCCTAGTTTATAAAATTATGGGGATTGACTAGATCAGCTATTCTCAAACTATGGGTCATGTTCCATTAAGAATCACTCATTTAAATGAGAGATGTTATTGAGTAAGATTGACTGAGCATGGGGACAGTGTGAAAAGAGAAGAAAATATTGAGAAATACTGGACTTTCTCAAGGATTTCTTCTATAAGATACATAATAAGATATTTTAAAGAACTGGCTTTGGACCAGTTTTACCTTTATAAATTTTTACAAATTAGGTCAGTTGAAGGGAATATATGTAGAATCTGTCATATCTTCTTATGTGCACTTAATTGAAAATTGAATATAAATAAAAGGATAGCAATAGCTAGCAGAAACAAAGGCTTGGAAGAATCCATAGGAAGTCAAAGTCCCTTTTATCTTAGTGTGTGTCTTCAGATAATCAGAGAAGAGGAGACAAATAGTTTTTTAATTACTGTTAAATTGCCTGGGGTCAGAGGCAATGAATAATGAATAGCAATCCATCTTCAATCACTTCCTTTGCCAATGAGCCACAGATATCAGAGACCAGTTCCAGTCCCCAAAGAGCAGAGCACTGGCAAGGGAGTCGATCTAAACTAGAAAAGAGAAATAAGAATCATGCTACAATGCACAGCAAGCACACAGGGCTTTCCACCCATGATGTGCTCCTCGCCTACCTCATCTGAGTCACGCTGCCTGTGGTAGGCAGAATAATGACCATCCCCAACACCCAAAGGTGCCCACACCCTAATCCCCAGGGATTTTGCAGATGTGATTACAGATATTCGTATTTATCCAGGTAGGCCCATTCTAATCATATGAATCTTAAAAGTGAGACCTTTCTCAGATTTGGTCAGAGAAATAGATGTTCAAAAAATCAGGGTCACAAGACACTACGATGTTGGCTTTGAAGATCTAAGAAGGGGGCTACAAGCCAAGGAATGTAGGCTGCCTCCAGAAGCTGGACAATTCAAGGAAATAGATTCTCCCTCAGAGCCTCCAGAAAGGAATGTAGCCCAGATACACATTGATTTCAGCCCAGTGACACCCCTTCCAGATTTCTGACCCTTAGAACTGTAAGATAATACATTTGTGTTATTTTAATTCAGTAAATTTGTGGGGCTTTGTTATGGCAGGATTAGAAAACTGATGTACTGTCTTTGCACAGCCTTATAGGACTGCTAGATTTCCTGCTTCTGTGTTTGGTCCATGTTGCTTCCTTTACCCAGAATGCCTTTCCCAACCTCTTCTTTTTACCCCTACAACCTACTCTTTTACTAAGACTTAGCTCAAGCATCCTCTTCTCTAGAGAGCCATTTCTAAATACCCAAAACTATCTCTCTCTTCCCCAAACCTAGGGTAGATTCTATTACTCCCATCTCTATGCTCCCACTATACCATATGCAAACACCTATTACAGCACTGTATTGAAAGCATCTATTTAAAGTTTGTCTCTTCTTAGGAAGGATCCAAGGCTGGGATGCTAGCAAACTGACCATCAGTATGTCCATGAGGAAACATGAATGAGAGCCAAGCTTTGGGAAACATGTATCTTAAATTATATCCTTAAACAAAATGGGGTAACAGATGTTAAATACTCCCAATTTACTAGCAATACTACATTCTCTTAATTAAGTAAGGGGTGAGGGGGTGTTTTGTTTTACATTTCACAACAGTTGCTCGGTACAGCTGTATTTGGCTTTGAATGTCATTAAACGACAAGATATTACCACTTTCATGCTTGGAGGCACCCGAATGTTCACAGAAAGAGCACATCTTATAAGCAGATATTTTTCTAGAGTTTATATTTTAAGTCCAAAGTTGAAAAAATAATTGAACTGAGACACTTTTGTTTCCAGAGAAATTTGGTCACTCTCACAATTCTGAAAGCTAACAATGTTCTTCTTTTCAGCTTAGACTTTCTTCTCCATTCAATATGTCCCATGCTCCCAGGGGTGCTGTCATACTCACCAGAGCATTTGACGCACACACCCTACAATTTTAATGATCTCTTTGACTCTTGGAATAACTAACCTAATCTTGCACTTGGGACAAGTCTCTGGTCTTCTACCCACTCTCAAGACATTCTTCATAATTGGGACAGATTTCCTGGCTGCACACCCACCAACCACTTTGGGCATCTATCTGCAAAATCATCTCCTTCGTTTTGTTAGTCAGCTTTTGACTTGAGGAGAAGGTAAAGCCAAACCTCTTTTTAACATAGGTTGTAGGTACAGCATCAAAAGTCACTTAAGAAACTGGAAGAAAGAGAAGGAGCATTATGGCTACCAATAAGACAGTTCAGGAAAAAGGAATCACTGCCTCTCTGTGGCTAAGTCCCCAAAAGGTAACAAATTAAAACATGGAGACAAAGAGAAAAATGAGAAAAAATAATTTGGCTATATGTTTACATGCATCTTTTTCTGCCATTTACACATTTTATAAGTTTCTTTATAACAACCATTTTTTTGTTGGGCACTTGTCTAATATGTTATGTAGTATGAAAGGTCTTCAATTTCCACTCCCCAGAAAATACAATGGTGCGGGTGGGGGAGGCAGAGGAAGCTAATTCAATCCTCTTTTCCCAGAATTCTCTTGTATCCCATGAGATTTAATGGATGTTCCAAAATAAGGGAATCTATGATCAAAAATAATTTAAGAAAAAAAACCTGGGTTAATCAAAGAAAAATGAAGCTGGTTTCTTGGATGCAAAACTTACCTGGAGTTTTACTATTTCAATATGCTCTATGACTCAAACAGGCAAGTTTATGTTGCAAACTCATTAAGCTCATTTAGCCAGAAACCATTTTGTCAAAGGAACATCTATTAACCTCTTTGATATTCAGTTTGGAAAATAATGCCCTAAATATTCCCATAAAGCATATCATACTAAAATATAGTAGGCTCTCAATGTTCAGATTTGAAAACACTGCCCTAAATATTCCCAAAAAGCATATCACAGTAGGTTCTCACTAACCATTTGACCACTGAGTAAGAAGCAAAATTTCAAAAATGAGCAACCCAAACCTTTTACCAATGTATTTCTCTACCAGAATGTAACTTGGTTTCATAAACCTATTTTTCCTCAAGTCAACAAAATTTTCTCAAGTCAACAAAATGTTTGCAGGCAGTTTAAACAGACTCCTTCGGTCCAGAGCTTAGTGCCAACTAGTCAAAAAGAAGCCAAACATTTTCTAATGTCAGTTGCACACAATATTCTTGACATTTCAGTTATTGAATTCATCTTTGGGAGGAAGAGAAAATGATGTCAAACAGAAAGCATTTGAGGAGATACTAGTAAGAACCCAGCAGCATCCCACTAGAAAGTCTTAATATGTGGCAAGCAAAATGTCATCCAAAATAACCCCAGACAAAAACACAACAAAAGTCTGGCCAAGGCCAGTTAATTAAGGGAAAAATCACAGAGAGCATTCAAGGTCTTTGGCGCTACTTCTACCATAACTTCTGAGACTTTCAAACTATTTGTTTGAAACTAACCCTTTTGAATGGCTATCAAACATATCCCAATTTTTTGAAGACAAGCGATTCTTCAAACTCAGTCAAATAACAAAATTGATTAAGCAGTAAGCTTGATGTTTTCCTTTAGTATTGCATCAACTACATTTATTGGTTGTTTTGATTTTCTATCAATATAGCCTAAGTGACATGAATAGACAATATTTCCCCATCCCAATATTTTCCCCATTGTGCTTAGCTTTGTTTATGCTGTGTTCTTTCCTTTTTTTTTGTTTTGTTTTGTTTCTGATATTGATAGT